CCCCGCGCTCGGCAGCCGCAGCAGCGCAGTGAGCTCATCGCTGCCCCCGGCGTACGCTCGGGCCGCAAGTGCGGCGCCCGCTGCGGCCTGGGGCGTGAGGCCCAGCCCCCAGGCACCCAAAGCCTGGGAACGAACTTCGGGCGGGTGCTCCCGCCCTCGGGCTTTGCCGCCCCGCCGGGGCGTCCTCAAGGCGCTGGAGCCTGGAGTCAAGTGAGTGCCCGGGCTGCTGCCATCGCGGCGACGAAGCGCCGGCGCCCTGCAGGGTGCGGCCCCAAGCAGCCCGGGGTGCCCGCACCAAGAAGCCGCAGGGCGCCTGAGGGAGGGCCGCGGCTGCCTGGTGCCCCCACGGGCAGCCTCCAGCTGCGGTAACCTAAGATGCCAGCCCAGCACAGGGCTGCCCCTACGTGCCACACGCCGGGAGAAGGCAAGGACCAGCCCCCAATTGAGTCCCCTGATGGAGGGCTGGGAAGGGCAGGCTGGTGCCGTCGCCTGTTGGCACTGAGCAGGCATTCTGCATGCAGCCGGCAGACACGGGGCCAGCGCTTCCATCTGCAGGCGGAGCACCGACCTACACCTGCTGGGATCTGGCCCACGCTGGGTGGCCAGAGCAGCCTTGTTTTGCATCTCTCCCCCCTCCCCGCGGTGCTCAGCGGTGGAGCTCAGAAGAGACGTTTCCCAGGATCTGGACTGCCTCTTGAGACACAAGATAAAACATGACTAGGCACCACACCAGTTGAGGCGCATGCAGGGGCCTGTGCCTCAGTGAGCAGCTGGGGAATCTGATAGGTTTAGATGGTTCTGAACTGGGTGGGGACAGAGACAGCAGCATCAGGGCCAGTTGATGCCAGTGTGTGCTGGCTTAGGGTGAAGCAATGAAGGGACTGCAGAGGGACAGATATGGGAGTCTCTGAGCCAGCCCCTTGGAAAAGAAAATCAGTCAGTGAGCAGGAACAGGAGAGCAGCAAGTAGACCATGGAGGCTCTCATTTCCCACTGTTTTTTAGGGATTGCACTGCTCCCTGGCTCCCAGCCCATGTCCCTCTGATCTGGGTAGACTGAGCTTCTTGGGACAGAAGCTACTCTCACTAAAGACAGCACACTAACCTGATAACCTATACTTAGACCTGGGTGGAAAATAAGGAAAAAAATCTAGTTCAAGTTGAACCAAAATGGAGTTTTTCAGGTTTTGTGGAAAAAAATGGAAAAATAAAACAAGCTGTTCTGAGATTACCCCAAACATTTTGTTTGTGCAAACAGAAACATTGTATTTCATTTTTTAGGGTTATTAATCCTTTTAATACTTTTAAATATAGATCATTTTAAACCAAAACATGCTTTTTGAAAAGAGAAATTGAGAAGCTGTATTTTGAAAATGCCAGAAATTGTTTTCCGAATTGTATTTCCCATTTTTGCTTTAAACTATTTTCCAAATTAAATCTGAATTCATAGATATTTTGTCTTCCCTTGAAGCTCCATTTTTGTTGACTTACTATTTGACAAAAATGTTTTGCCCACCTATAATGAGTGCTGAGCATATGAGCCCCATTTCTCAATGAGCTGCAAAGTACCCCCAACACACCCCCAAATCCTAATATCAAACACCAAAACACAAAGTGCAATGACTTGTTCCTCATCAGAAATCTAGTGCAGGAGGCACCAGTGCCATGAGGTGAGGTAGATATATTCAAAGTCTTCCATGTCCTGGGTGTGCAGGGGATCCTGTTTAGAGCTATTAGATCAGACTCTCTACAGACACAAGCACACATCTCTGCATCAGTGACAATCACATGTTTCTAATACTTATTTGACCATCACAATGCTAGAAACAGCAGGTTTGTTTTCAGTGAAAGTTGTAATTATGGAGTCAGTTCTGTGACATGCTATGGGGCTCCACAGTGAACTCTTCCTTGCTTATAATGTTTACTAACTTCTGTCCAGGCTGAAATGTTTCCATGCTTGCATTCTAACAGTGAGATAACTTGGAGCAAGGCTCATTTCTGAGAACGAGGTTAGTGAAAAATAGAATTTTACCAATGTCACAAAAGACATTCTCACTTCTTTGTTTCAGATACCTCCTCCAGACTTTGGATCAGGAGGTTGGCAGGAGACTGGTCAGGACATTTGTCAGGTAATTTTGATATTCCCCAGTGCAATCTGTCCAGATTCAGACAACTTAGAAGCAATTTTAATTTGCACAGCAGATCTTGTTGATTGTTTGAATATTCTAACTGTACTACCCATGCTTCACTGAACCTCCTGCATCAAACATGAGGGGCTTTTTATATTTCAGCCCAAAGGCAATTAAATTCCAATTCCAAGGATACCTAACTCAGTATCCATGTCTATCAATACCCTATGTGCAAGTCCCATCCCCTGGGAATTCAGATGCTTGTCCCATCCTTCTCAAACTTGATCTGAGCAAAAAGGCTGAGACTACAACTCTGGGTGCCATGACTACAGTATTCCAGGATCTCCGTAGCCAGCAGACAAACTTTCCCCTTTTACTGAGCAGTGTTAATAGTTCTGAGTGTATCCCTTTCATCAAGGGCCCAAACTCCTACCTCAGAAGGCAGTTGTGAATCATTACCAAGGATTCAGAGGACTGCCCAAAGCGTTCTGGCCAGCCCAGGACAAGAACCTGAGCGCCAGCAAGCTAACTGCACAGCCCTAGAGATTAACACTGCCAATTCTGCAGGCTCTAGCATCTGCAAGATAGGGTACCTCCAGTATTTCTACTGTCACCTGTTATCTAGATTACAGATAAAATAACCTTGTGGGTAGGCTACCAAACCTTTTATTTGTTTGCACTTTAAAACATGAAAACAAGCATTTTCCCAAGGTCTATTTGCCTACCCATGACAGCACAACATAGATTCTCACCTATGGTGAGACTTAAGAGGTAGGAGGAGGGTGGCAAACATATTGGTGGCAGGTCTTTTTGAATTTGCTTAGGTCTCTAAAATTTCCCTCCAGCCTGCCAGCCTGTGCCCAATATTTATAGATGGCTGGTCCTAATAGTCTAATAAATGATCTCTGATTGGTTTTATTTAAAATGTCTTTGTTTCACTGAAACTTTTGGAACTGGACTAAACCAGATCTCTTATGGACTTGGAAAGTGTCAATTAGTTTGGATTTATATCCTTGGGAAAGAAAGAGGGAGGGTTTCTTATCTGCTCTCCTTCCCCACTGTGGAGTGCTACTCAACACTGGCCTGTTTCTTCTTTACCATAGTTTATGGTCTTTTCTGACAAGGCTGTTTTTGTTTTTACAAATTATCTTAACAAAAATGTATCTATTATAGTGTGATGGGCTAGCTGTCAGTGACTTAGCCCAGGGGTTTTGAAAGATGATCGGAGGGCTTGGGATTCCCTTTCCTCACCAGGTGCCAGAGACTCACCCTCCATGTCCCCTGATTGGTCCCTTGGGTCACCTGGAGGGTGATAAAATGGGTACCACAGCTGACTCAGGGGAGACCAGCGAGGAACCACAAGGAAGGCGCTTCAAAGAGCTGGCAAGAGCTGGGCCAGTGGGGTGGGAGCAGTTGCCCCTGCCCCAGAAGCACCTGAAGGAGTGGGACCTGCAGGCAGCAGTTGGACCTGCAGCAGCATGGTGTGCAGCCAGCAGGAGAGGCTCCCCGCTGGGCTCCAGGATCCCCTATGAGAGGCTGTGCCCAGTAGAAGAGGCTCCCAACCTCCAGCAAGCACCTGAGCCTCGACCTGAGAGGTTCCCAGCTCTGCTTCCAGCTCCTCCAATACGAGGCCAGGCAGCTTGACATGAGGCCGGGGCTCCTGGAAGGCCAAGACTCCTAGCAGCTTGGAGCAGTGCCAGCACTGGTGGCTGTGTGGTAGAGTTTCTGTCTATCATGGGGGTGATCTGAGGTCAAGTCACAGCTGGGGTGAGTGAAGTAACAGGGAGAAATTCTTGTTGCAGTGGAAAGGGGTCATTGTGTTTTCCTCCTTTCTCTGCTTCCAGGTACCTAGGCCCTATATTCCTTGTCATTTGACATTTTGTATTTT